GGAAGAGGAGCAAAAGAGAGCAGCTCCCCACAGAGCAGAGGATGCTGACCCAGGAGGTTCCTCCTCTGGGAAGCACATTCCAGCTGTGGGGAGCAGGGGAAGCAGCACGGGCTGGACACATCTCCTCAGCTGGGAGCAATCCTGCTCCTGCTCCCCTGCAGCTCTGGCTCTGGGGCAGAGTTTTGCTGCATTTTAATTGAAATTCTGTAACCTGCAAAGCTGTGTGGGGCTGGGACCCCTGCACACCTCGGGAGGGTCCCTCGGGGCGGGTGAGTGCCTTGTCCTGGGTGTCCTGGCAGCCCTCCAAGCCCCCAGGAAGCAGATCCCTGTGGATCCCTGGGGCTGGCTGTGCTTGGCACAGCTCCCTCCCTGCCCTGCTCCAGAGCTGACTGATGTAACCCAGTTCTGCTCCTTCACACCTGGAAGAGGGATTTCACGTTTGTTTTCCAGGTGTGATGTCTATTCCCATAAAAAACATCGTGTCCCTCTCCAGGATGGGACCTTGGGTGGCCCCAGTCCAGAAACCCCCTCCCTGCACCCCCCAAGGGCAGCTCCTGGAGGGGATTTGGAAAGCAGGGGCTGTGGGAGGGGGTTCCTGGAGGAAAGCTGCTGTGGGAGCTGCTGTGCTGCTGCCTGGCTCTTGCTCCCTCCCTGGTCCTGCTGCCCTGCTGCATCCCAGGAGTTTGCAGCTCCTGTTTCCACTGGGGCTGATTCATAAAAAACCCAAGCACAGCACGTGGAGCAGCTGAATCCTCCCAAACCCTCGTCCTGTGCCATAAACTGAGAGCTCAGCCTAAAAATAGCCCCATTGCCTGTTGGAGGTGTAGCCCCGACTGTTGATGAGGTCTTGGGAACCAGAAATAGCTCCTGAGTCCCAGCAGCAGCAGAGCTTTTGCCTTGAACAGCTGCTTTCTGGAGCAGCTCAGGCTCAGCCCTGGATTCCCTTGGATGCTCCCAGGGCTGGGGGATGCTGGGGGCACATCCAGGCAGTTCCAGCTCCTCCTGGGCAGCTCCTGCCTCTCCCTGTGTTAATGCCCCAGGTTCTTGCTGGTTTTTTCCATGGGATGATGTAAGGTACACAAACTCCTTTCAGGAGTTGTTTCTTTTCCTGTGCAGTGATTCAGCCCCCCAGGCTCTCCCTCCCAGCTGCAGCCCTTCCCTCCTGAGCTGCTTCCAGCTCCTCATTCAAGTGAAGAATGCACTGGGGATGTTCCAGGCAGCCTTTTCCCCTCCAGTCCCTTGGGAAGTGTTCTGCTGCTGCTGCTGCCTGCCAGGGGCTCAGCCTCTTCTGGCTGCCTGCTCTAAGGGGTTAATGCTGCCTTTTTCCATGGATTTTGTTTTATTTTTTCCTGTCTGGCTATTTTCAAGCTGGCAACCTGAGCACTGGAAGTTTTGCAGTGGGCATTGGGTGGGAGTGGATTCAGGGAGTGAATTCTTGTCTGTGCCCAGCAAGGTCCCAGGCACTGTCCCTCCTGCCTCTGTGTGCTGAAGGGCCTGGGTGCTGCCAGCTGTGCACCTGGGACATTTATCAGGGAATGAGGGCATTTTGTGCCCCTTCCTGGCATCCCAGGCTGGTTTGGGTGGGAAGGGACCCTAAAAGGCATCCAGTCCCACGGGCAGGGACACCTCCCACTGTCCCTGTCCTCCAAGGCCTGGGACACTTCCAGGCTGTGCTGTAGCATTCCCAGGCTTCCCAGCTCCTCCCTTCACCCAGGCTGTGATAACTTCCCTGGCAGAGATTCAGGAGCTCCTGGAGGACACAACTCCAGTTTGTTCCTCACCCTGGTGATTCCAGCATGGCCACCCCATCCCATCCCATCCCATCCCATCCCATCCCATCCCATCCCATCCCATCCCATCCCATCCCATCCCATCCCATCCCATCCCATCCCATCCCATCCCATCCCATCCCATCCCATCCCATCCCATCCCATCCCATCCCATCCCATCCCATCCCATCCCATCCCATCCCATCCCATCCCATCCCATCCCATCCCATCCCATCCCATCCCATCCCAGTTTCCTTCCCTGTTTTTTTTATTCTCAGTGACTTCACTCTCCAGATGGAGAGCGAAGGTGGTAAGGCACCACTGGGATTTTAATTTTCTGGGAGATTGTTAATGCATGTCAGAAGTGTTTTCACCTCCCCGTGCTCCCAGGAAGCACAGCATGGAGAAACAGGATCTGTCCCGAGCCTGCAGCTTTCCTTGGGCCTTGTTAAGGGGAATTTTAATCAGCAATTCATTTAATACTTGGATATGGGTGGGATCAGGGCTGTGGCCGTGCTGGGTTCCTGCTCATTCTGCTGCACCCCTGGGAAGTGGTGCCTGGACTGGCAGATGGGGCATCCCGTGGGGATGAAGTGGTTTTTGGGAAGGAGCAGTTCCCGGGTGGCCTGTGCTTGGTGCTGCCCATTGGAATGTGGGAATGCAGAGCCAGGGGGTGGCTCTGGGCGTGCCTTTGCTTTGGTGTCCCCAGTCCCACTGTTCCTCCCTGCTGCCAGGAGTCCAGACCCCTCTGCCATGCCATTCCAGAGGCTGCTCCATGCCCTGCCAGCTCCCAGGCCATTCCCTGGGGCAGCATCAGCACCTAGAGGGAGGCTGGGCTGTTTTTGCCTTGTGCAGGGAATGTTTGGAGGCTTTTCCAATGTCCCCCCACTTCCACAGGCAGCTTTGCAGCAAGTTCTGTGTTGTGGGTTTTGCGTGGGGTGGGACAGTGAAGCATTCCCAGGAATCCTCTGCAATCAGTGGGAGCTTTGTGCTGGACGTGGCCAATAGCTCCTTCTGGAGCCTGCTGTGGGAATGTGGGCATTGCCCCCAGATGAGCAGCCTGGCAAGGGTGGGCCTGTGTTGGGTGGGCTGGAGCTGCTCAGCAGCTGCTGCTGCCCCAGAGATCTCCTGGGATGCATCAGCCTCTGAAGCACTCGAGCCAAGGACACTCCAGGCAAGCCTGAGCATCTGTGCTGGACTGGGACACACAGGTCTGGCAGGAGGTTGATTGGATGGATGCTGCTGAGTCCCTTTGCCATTCTGGGTCAGTCTCTGCTGAGAGCATCCCTGAGTCACCGGCTCTGGGACATTCCGAGCAGGAGCACAGAGCGCCGGTGCCTTTGTCTGCTTGCAGAGAGCTCCCAGCTCTGTCTCCTTGCAGAGAGCTCCCAGCTCTGTCTCCTTGCAGAGCCATCCCATCCCATCCCATCCCATTATCCCATCCCATCCCATCCATCCCATTATCCCATCCCATCCCATCCCATCCCATCCCATCCCAGTTTCCTTCCCTGTTTTTTTTATTCTCAGTGACTTCACTCTCCAGATGGAGAGCGAAGGTGGTAAGGCACCACTGGGATTTTAATTTTCTGGGAGATTGTTAATGCATGTCAGAAGTGTTTTCACCTCCCCGTGCTCCCAGGAAGCACAGCATGGAGAAACAGGATCTGTCCCGAGCCTGCAGCTTTCCTTGGGCCTTGTTAAGGGGAATTTTAATCAGCAATTCATTTAATACTGGGATATGGGTGGGATCAGGGCTGTGGCCGTGCTGGGTTCCTGCTCATCCTGCTGCACCCCTGGGACGTGGTGCCTGGACTGGCAGATGGGGCATCCCGTGGGGATGAAGTGGTTTTTGGGAAGGAGCAGTTCCCAGGTGGCCTGTGCTTGGTGCTGCCCATTGGAATGTGGGAATGCAGAGCCAGGGGGTGGCTCTGGGCGTGCCTTTGCTTTGGTGTCCCCAGTCCCACTGTTCCTCCCTGCTGCCAGGAGTCCAGACCCCTCTGCCATGCCATTCCAGAGGCTGCTCCATGCCCTGCCAGCTCCCAGGCCATTCCCTGGGGCAGCATCATCCCTAGAGGGAGGCTGGGCTGGTTTTGCCTTGTGCAGGGAATGTTTGGAGGCTTTTCCAATGTCCCCCCACTTCCACAGGCAGCTTTGCAGCAAGTTCTGTGTTGTGGGTTTTGCGTGGGGTGGGACAGTGAAGCATTCCCAGGAATCCTCTGCAATCAGTGGGAGCTTTGTGCTGGACGTGGCCAATAGCTCCTTCTGGAGCCTGCTGTGGGAATGTGGGCATTGCCCCCAGATGAGCAGCCTGGCAAGGGTGGGCCTGTGTTGGGTGGGCTGGAGCTGCTCAGCAGCTGCTGCTGCCCCAGAGATCTCCTGGGATGCATCAGCCTCTGAAGCACTCGAGCCAAGGACACTCCAGGCAAGCCTGAGCATCTGTGCTGGACTGGGACACACAGGTCTGGCAGGAGGTTGATTGGATGGATGCTGCTGAGTCCCTTTGCCATTCTGGGTCAGTCTCTGCTGAGAGCATCCCTGAGTCACCGGCTCTGGGACATTCCGAGCACGAGCACAGAGCGCCGGTGCCTTTGTCTCCTTGCAGACAGCTCAGAGCTCTGTCTCCTTGCAGACAGCTCCCAGCTCTGTCTCCTTGCAGAGAGCTCCCAGCTCTGTCTCCTTGCAGACAGCTCGGAGCTTTGTCTCCTTGCAGACAGCTCCCAGCTCTGTCTCCTTGCAGACAGCTCCCAGCTTTGCCTGGAGCATCACAGGGGTGGCTGCAGGGCTCAGTGAGCTGGGGCTGTCCAGGCTGCTCAGTGGAAGGGCAGCGTTTGGGGTGAGGACAGGGATGGAGCTGGAGCTGCAGGTGCACCAGGGAGGGTCAGTTCTGTGTGCCACCTCTGTGTGGGGTGTTTGTGTCTCTGACTGGGGTTTAGGTGGTATCTGGGACACTTGGGTTAGAATCCCAGCATCAGTGAGGTTGGAAAAGCTCTCCTGGATCACTGAGTCCAATCCCAATGCCCAAAGCTCTGAGTGCCACATCCAGGCATTCCTGGGACACCTCCAGGGATGGGGACTCCAAACCTCCCTGGGTAGTTCCAATGTTTTCCAACCCTTTCCCTGGAGAAACTTGTGCTGGATGTCCCTGGTGCTTTCTCTCCTCAAAGTTCTGCTGGCTTGTGGCTCTTGGAGGTGATGGAGTGCCCTTCCCTTGTGTGTCCCCTCTGGCTGCAGGTGGCACAAGCTGCACTCCAAGGCTGGGAAGAAGGAGAAGGAGCGAGGTGAGATCCTGGTGAGCATCCAGTTCACACGGAACAGCCTGACTGCCAGCATGTTCGACCTGTCCGTGAAGGACAAGGCGCGCTCGCCCTTCGGGAAGCTGAAGGACAAGGTGACAGGCAAGAAGAAGTACGACCTGGAGTCGGCCTCTGCCATCATCCCCAGCAGCATGGGAGCCCTGGACGTGGAGGACGACTTGGAGCTCGGGGGCAAGAGGTCCAAACTGAAGGGCTTCTTCCTGAAGAACAAGCTGCGCAAGTCGTCCCTGACGCAGTCCAGCACGTCCCTGGGCTCCGACAGCACCATCTCCTCTGCCAGCCTGAGCCTGGCAGCCACCGTGCCCGAGGTGGCCAAATCCCCCAGCAGACACGGCAGCCTGACCACGGAGTGCTCTGGTAAGAGGATCAGGGATAATCCCCCCAGTGCTCCCCTTGCTTTCCTCGCAAGGGGCTCCTGAGAGCTCCTTGCTGCTCTGTTAGCTGATTGCTCACCCAGCCACAGAGCCAGCAGTTGTGGGATTGGGTATTCCAGTTCCAGGGGTGTGGAATGTGGAACCAGGAGTGTGGGATTGGGTATTCCAGTTCCAGGATGTGGAACCAGGAGTGTGGGATTGGGTATTCCAGTTCCAGGGGTGTGGAATGTGGAACCAGGAATGTGGGATTGGGTATTCCAGTTCCAGGGGTGTGGAATATGGAACCAGGAGTGTGGAATTGGTTAGGTTGGAAAAGCCCTCCAGGATCATGGAGTCCAGCTGTTCCCTCAGCACAGCCAAGGCCACCACTCACTGTGTGCCCAGGTGCCACAGCCACAGGGCTTTGAAATTCCTCCGGGGATGGGGACTCTGGCCCTGCCCTGGGCAGCTGGGCCAGGGCTGGACAGACCTTTTAGTGGAGAAACTTTCCCTAAACCTCCCCTGGCCCAGCCTGGGGCCGTTCCCTCTGCTCCTGTCCCTGTTCCCTGGAGCAGAGCCCGACCCCCCCGGCTGTCCCCTCCTGGCAGGAGCTGTGCAGAGCCACAAGGGCCCCTGAGCCTCCTCTGCTCCAGGATGTCACTAAGAGGTGACATCCTGCACAAACTCCCTGAGCCCTGTGTGCTGGCACTGAGGTGTTTGCCAGAACGGGAGGAACATCCCAGATTTTGCTTTTCCATGCCTGCACCACGGGCTCCCAGGGTCTGGGGGTTCCTCAGGGCTGTTCCTGCCAGCCCCTCGGAGCAGTCCCTGCCAGGAGGGCCCTGCCTGGGCTGGGCTGGGCTGCAGGCCCTGCCTGGGTCACTGCTCTCCTAATGAGCCGCCTCCGGCCCGCGGGCAAAGCCCAAACAGCCCCGGTGATTAAAACAATCTGAGCTCTTGGCACTCCCAGGGCAGTCATTTACAAACAAAAAAGGCCCTTGTAGGGAATTAATTCTCCCTTGGAAACAAATACATCACGAAATGGTTCAGCTGGCTGAGACAGCACATTGCCAGGTTGGGGGGAGTCCCCGGGGAGGCCCTGTGGCTTCTGCTGGTGACATTCCTGTGCTGGTTCCGTCATCTGAGCTGAGCCTTCCAGCTACTGGGAGCTTCCCTTCCCATGGCAGGGGACTGGAACTGGGTGATCTTTAAGGTCACTTGCAGCCCAAACCATTCCATGATTCTGTGAAGGAAGCAGCATCTCCAGCTGGGGGGATGCACAGCTGTCAGTTGTTTTCCTCGGGTTCTCCCCAGGGTTTATCCCCAAAAATTGGCAGTAGCCACAAGGTCATAGGATCATGGAATTGTTAAGGTTGGAAAAGATTTTTAAGATGATCAAGCCCACCCCTGGAGGCAGTGGGAGGGAGAGGCAGGCACTGGACCCTCCTGGCTCATCACACCCAGCAGTGGCCTGGAGGCATGGCCCCGTCATCGCTCATTCAGTGCAAATTCATATGTCATATCAAAGCTTTCAAACCCTTTAAGGAGCTTCTGAGGAGTTCCTTGCATTTACTATCCAGCTCAGATCCTCTCAGACAGTGTGTTTGTCATCTTGCAGAGCCTCCTCTGGGGCTCAGTTTTGTGTCCCCACTGCTGTGCTCAGTTTTGTGTCCGCAGCGTGGCCGCACACCAGCGAGCTGTGCTTGCCATTTCCAAGGATTTAACCCTGATCCCGCGGCAGGGAGAAGGCCGGGGTGGCTCCCCAGCCCTCTGAGGCGTGCCCAGGAGGCGGACAAGGCCGGCCTGACCCGCTGTGTGTTTGCTCCCCGCAGGGAAGGAGCTGCCGGCCTCGCCGAAGCCGAGCCACAAGAGAGCGTTCAGCGACGATGTGTGCCAGCTGAGCGCCGGGCCCGAGCCCCCGCCGAGCCCCCGGGGGAGGCAGGAGCCCCCCTCCCGCTCGTCCCTGTGCATCAACGGCAGCCACGTGTACGGGGAGGAGGCAGCCCCCCTGCCGCCCGCCTCTGCCCCGCTGCCCGTGCCCCGCAGGCACGACGAGCCCCCCGAGCTGCCCTGGGTGCTGGACAGGGCTCAGCAGCGGGACGAGCCCAGGTTCATCCCGTCCCCGCCCAGCCTGGCCCTGCAGGAAGAGCTCAAGGTGTCCACCAAGGCCGTGACCCTCAGCAACCACCTGGGCAGGGCCAGGATGGAGGAGAGCAGCCGGCTGGAGGGCAGGCCCAGCCCGGCCGCGCCTGCCCCGGCCTTCCCCAAGGACACGGCGCCCGAGGACGCCAGGAAGGAGGACAAGAAGGCCAAGGGAGGCTTCTTCCACCACGGGGGCAAGGGCCAGGGGGACAGAGGGACCCCCGTCCACGCCTCGGCCGCGGGGGATGAGAGGAGTAAGAGCAGCGGCTGGTTTGGCTCCAAGGAGCCCAAGGAGTCCCCTCAGAAACCCAGGTCAGTGCAAGGGGCTGTGGAGGGCCAGGTTGGTGATTCCTGCCCCAAATTCCTGTCTCCAGCGGCTTCTGGGTGCTCCTAGGAGTGCTCAGGCATGGGCAGAGCAGGGGAAATGCTTCCTTGCTCTTAAATGTCTCACAGGGAAGGGGATTTTCCTGGATCCTCTCCTGGTCCTGCCAGCAACCACCTGTGCTGGATGTGGGATGTGTTTTGCTCTCAGGGAAGGGAGGGATCCCCTCCATGGAGAGGTTTCCCTCTGCAGAGGTGAGCCTCAGTGTGGTCACACCAAGTGGTTCTGTGGCCTCAAAATACAGATTCATTATCCTTCAAGGAGCTAAAAAAGCTTCCCTGGCAGTCAGGCTGGGATACTGGGATTTGCAATCACATTCTTGTTATGAACCCCACACCCCCTATAGGGTCTGGTCAGGGGCAGCACTTTGGTTACATGAGATGTCATGAATATTCCCAAAGTAACTAATCCCAACCCTGCTCTTTCCTCTTCCCACCCAGCCTTCCCTTCCAGTTAAGAATCTCTGACTGTCCTTGCTTTGTGTGGTGATTCATCCCTCCAGATCCTCGGGGTTTGTGGTGTTTGTGCTGCTCCTGTGAGGGATTTATCGCTGTGTCCCCCCTGGAGCTGAGCTGGCAGTCCAGAGGTCGAGGTGGTGTCAGTGAGAGGCAGGAAATGGGGCTAAAATCAGCCAGAGAAAACACCCAGCACTCAGAGCTGCTTCAGTCTGCAGCTTGGTTTATTAGAGGGATTTCTAATCTGGGCTGACTTTAACCTCATTTATTAAGCAGAAGGATTTTGGTTCAGTCTGAGCCTCATGTAATGAAGAGGGCACTCCTGGTTTATTCCACGTAACCTGGCTCCCACATGGGTTAAACTTGTGAAGGGATCAGCTCATCCCTCAGCCTGGCTCCAGCACCAGCCCCAAAACTCCTCCTTTCCACAGGAAGGTGTAGTGCCTTGAGGCTGCACAGGCAGAGCTGGGTGAGAAGGCAGCAGGTTTTCCCCTTCTCCTTGGCAAATGGGTGAGAAGGCAGCAGGTTTTCCCCTTTTCCTTGGGAAATGGATGAGAAGGCAGCAGGTTTTCCCCTTTTCCTTGGGAAATGGGTGAGAAGGCAGCAGGTTTTCCCCTCTTGGCAGCCTGGGAAGGAGGCAGCAGGGCCATGACCCTCTGATTTCCAGGCAGGGGTGTCAGATCCGGCTGGAGTTGAGCTCCTGGTCCACCCAAGGCAGTGGATGATCACCAGGAGTGCCCCTAAGCACTGCTGCTTTCTGACAGCTCCCTGCCTCCCTGGACCCATCCCCAGCCTTGCTCCTTTCCCAGATGGTTCCACCCCATGGGTTTTTTGGTGCTGGCAGTTTAATCTCAAGCTCAGCCAGAGCCGAGCTTTGCCCAGAGCCTTGCTGAGGACTTTGTCCTGCGAGGAGAGACCTGGATGGGCTGTGTGGCAGCAGCTCCTCTGGCTGGGGTTTTCTCTCCCAAAACCAGGAATGGATTGCCAGCAGCACGAGCTGCAGGGAAGGAATTCACAGAGCCCCTTTTGGGTGTTCAGGAGCATCTGAGTGGGCTTCAGGTGCAGTTTGCAGTTGAGAATGGGAAATGATGAGCTGGACCTGGAGCAGGGGGGTTGAGAGGAGGAGCTGGGAGCAGTGGCTCCTGGAGGATGGGGAAATGCTGGAGCTGCCTGGCTGGGAAGGGATTCTCCCTCCCAGGGTCCAGGGATTGTCACTGGGACAGCTGAGAACCCTGGGGAGCATTACAGGAATCATCTGGTGACTGATTTGCTGCAGACAGGCCCTGTCCATCCTCACAGGGACAGGGTTTGTCCCTGCCCTGCTCTTCCCAGTGCTTCAGTTCTCCTGGTCACTCATTAGACATCATTACTCCTTTTAATTACACACAACTGACTCCTCTGATTTCATTTTGCATCCTTACACTGAACCACCTCGTGGGCCAAGCTGCTGGTGCAGGTCACAGCTGTGGAAGAGCTTTTAGGTCTTGGTGGCTTCAGAGTGCCAGAGGGCAGGGTCAGGTGGGATCTTGGCAAGGAATTGCTGGCTGGGAGGGTGGGCAGGGGCTGGGCAGGAATTCCCAGATTGGCTGTGGCTGCCCCTGGATCCCTGGCAGTGCCCAAGGCCAGGCTGGATCCACCTGGGACAGCAGGAGGTGTCCCTGCCATGGCAGGGTGGCTCTGGGTGGGATTTCAGGTCCTTTCCCACCCAAACCATTCTAGATTCTCTGGGCTCTGCTATTCTGTGATGTCCATCTGTGGCTGTTCAGTAGCAGTGTCACTCCCAGAGCTGGAGTGACCCTGCTCTGGAGAGAAGCAGCCTCTGAACTGAGCAGTTTTAAGTCTTGACTTATTTGCAGAAAGGACTTTTCCCCTCCTGCTCTCCTGACTCTGGAAACTTCATCTTTGTGGCTCCTGCCAGCAGCACCTTCTCACCTGTTTGCCACCCTGGATAGGCCAGGTTTAACCCAGAGCTGAGCGTGGTGGGAATGCATCAAAATCAGTCACTTTGCAAGCCCAGGAACCTCAGCCTGTAATTAGTTAAAAGGCCTGTAATTAGAAGGATGGTTTCAGTTGGCCTGCAGCAAAGCCCAGCCTGGCACAGCTCATCTTTACCCACTTGCTGTGCCAAACACACCCTCCCAAAATAAGGAGCTGCTGCTTTGGGCTGGGTTGAACTGGAGCTCTATAAAGAGGGTTTTGTTGTGTGCTGGGTGGGTTTGGCTGAGCCCTCAGTGTGGGAGCTGGCTCTGCAGACCTGTCTGTGCTCCCCTGGGGACAGAACTGGGCATTGCTGCCTTCAGCCCTTATTTACACCCCCTTTTCCCTGGTTCTTCTCAGGGAAGCAGGTCCCAGAGGCTCTGCTCATCATCCCTGGTTTGCTAATCCCAGGCTTTGATTCTGGAGGGGATGGGAGCAGTAGGAAGATGGTGTTTGCTCTTTGGAGGCTGAATAAAAGCCTGGTTGGGGGTTGTTGTTTAGAATGTCAGTGCTTAAGGGTTGTGTGCAAGGAAGAAGCTCAGCAGGTTTATTTGAGGCAAAGCCTGGGGCTGAAACAATCCTTTACATGTTTCCAGGGTTTCCTCCAATGTTATCAGAGCTCTGCAGCTCCTGCTTCCTGTGGAGAATCCTGATGATAAAACGGGGCTGATCTTAGGCCTGGCAGCAGGAGAAAGAGGAAACTGTGCTCTGTCCTACAGAAACAGGGGCATCAGTTCCATTCTCAGGCTCAAGCCCCTTCCCAGAGCCCATACTGACTCAGTTCCTCCCTGCTCCTCGTGTGCTCCTGGAATGTGCCTTTCCCAAGGGCTGGGAATGGGAGCAAGGCTTGGAACGGCTGCAGCAGAGTGCTTGGCCAGGCTGCAGAGCTGGGGTGGAGCATGGAGCCTGGGGCAGCCCCTCCAGAGCCAGCAGGACTCTGAGAGCACAGCCTGGGAGGCTGCAGGGTTTGAGGAAGAGGGAGATGAAGGCCATGATGTGACAGCAGGGCGTTGTGGCTAACAGGGGTGAACCCATGGGAGCCATCAGCGTCACAGCTCTGAACCCATGGAGCCATCAGGGTCACAGCTCTGAACCCATGGAGCCATCAGGGTCACAGCTCAGGGATGGCATCCAGGAGAGTGCAGCTCTGCCCTGCCTTGCAGCAGCCCCAGGGATGGAGTGGGATCAGTGTGAGGCTGGAGGATGGCTCTCTGTGCTGCTGAGCCTGCCTTTCCCAGGCATGGACAGGAGGCAGGAGGGGCAGTGGAGCCAGAGCTGGCACCAGCTCAGCCCTGGTGAGCTCTGGAACCATCCAGGAGAAGCACAGCCCCACTCCCACTCCTAAAGGTGGGAATTGGGGGCTGAAGTTGGCATCTCCCTGGGTTCCTACTACCTAGATTTCTCCTATTTTTTAAAATTCCCATGGTTTTGAGGGCAAGTGTCTGTAAAGGAAGATCTGTCCATTTGAATGGGGATGATGGACAGGTGAGGCCCAAGGGAAGAGCAAAGTGGTTATTGCACAGATAATTATTATAGATCACTTTTGGATTGTTAGAGGTGATTTATTATAGAGAAACCCAGCCCTTCCACCTCTGGAATTCCTATTTAAAACTCATTCCCTGACTCCTTCCCTCTGGTGCTCCCACCCTGTACAAAAATGTCCTGGGCTGCTGCTCCCATCCCTTCCCAGCCCCTCCTGCCAATTCCAGCTGTGCCAGCTCTGCCCCTGCCGCTGGGAGGAGGTTCCTGCTCCCATCCCTTCCCAGCCCCTCCTGCCAATTCCAGCTGTGCCAGCTCTGCCCCTGCTGCTGTTCCTGACCCCTGCCAGGTCTGGGGCTGCTGCAGGATGCTCCAGCACCTCCATCCCGTGCTTTTCCACCCAAGGGAGCTCTGTCCGTGGGAAGAGGGGCCAGAAGCAGCCTGGGAGTGGCAGCCCCGGCTCCAGCCGCTGGAGGATTCCCCCTGAGCTGCAGCACAGCTCCTCCCTCAGCACATCATCCGTGCCCTCCCCAGAGCCCTGCTTTGGCACGGGCTGTTTTCTGCTGCTGGTGCAGAGCCCCCCACACCCCTCTGCAGAGCCTGCTCAGCCCGAGAGCAGGCTGGGATCCTGGAAAACCTCCCTGTACTGAGCAAGCTGTTTCCAATAGGCTTTTTCCATCAGGGGGTTGCTCAGCAATATTTTATTTCCTTTTTTTTTTTTTTTTTTTTTTTTTTATTGCTGCGAGGCTCAAAGGCGTCTGTGAAGTGCTGCCAAACAAATAAATGAGGGCAGGGAGGTACCCGAGATTTATTTTGGCTGGCGGAGCCGTGTGCTGGGAATGGGAGGGGAAGGAGGAGCGGGAGGAGGAGGAGGAGGAGGGTGAGTCAGCGTTTCAGTGCTGCACAGAGCTGCTCCCATCACACAAGTGCAGGCTTCCCTCTAGAGGAACCTGCCGTGCTCCACTCCTGCTCCCACCGAGCACTCCCAGCATCCTGCCTCGGGGTGGAGGGGTGGGAAAGGGAGTTTTGGGGTCAGAGCAAGGCTCCTGGCAGTGCCAGGCTGGTGGGCACAGTGGGGTGTTCATCCCAGGGAATGGGGCTGGTGGGCACAGCAGGGGTGTTCACCCCAGGGAATGGGGCTGGTGGGCACAGTGGGGTGTTCATCCCAAGGAATGGGGCTGGTGGGCACAGCAGGGGTGTTCATCCCAGGGAATGGGGCTGGTGGGCACAGCAGGGGTGTTCATCCCAGGGAATGGGGCTGGTGGGCACAGCAGGGGTGTTCATCCCAGGGAATGGGGCTGGTGGGCACAGCAGGGGTGTTCATCCCAGGGAATGGGGCTGGTGGGCACAGCAGGGGTGTTCATCCCAGGGAATGGGGTTGAACAATGATGCTGCAATTTGAAATCCCAGTGGAAAGTCACAGATTCCTCAGGCTGTGCCAGGGAAGGTGAGGTTGGGTATTGGGAAAATTTTTCCTGTAAAGGTTTGTCCAGCCCTGGCCCAGCTGCCCAGGGCAGGGGTGGAGTTCCCATCCCTGGAGGGCTTTAAAAGCCCTGTGGATGTGACACTTGGGGACGTGGGTCAGTGGTGGCCTTGGCAGTGCTGGGAGTGGTTGGACTTGGTGGTCTTAGAGAGCTTTTCCAACCTGAACATTCCATGCTTCTTCTGCCTGGAATTTGCAGCCAAGAGCCCCTGAACAAACCCCAGGGGGTCCCAGCAGGAATGGGGCTGAGAAGCAGAAATTTCCACAGTGGAGCTGAAGGGGGAAAACGAGAATCCAGCAAAGATGGGTTCAAGTTCTGCCTTTATATATTCAGCCAATATCAGCAGGGCCAGCACCCCCGGAGCCCCATCAGGACTTTGCAAGGGACAGAGGGACAGGACACAGGGAGTGGCTCCCACTGGCCACGGGGAGATTGGGCTGGGATCTGGGCAAGGAATTGCTGGCTGGGAGGGTGGGCAGGGGCTGGGCTGGAATTCCCAGAGCAGCTGGGGCTGCCCCTGGATCCCTGGCAGTGCCCAAGGCCAGGTGGGCACTGGGAGCAGCCTGGGACAGTGGGAGGTGTCCCTGCCATGGAACTGGGTGGGATGGGATGATCCTTACGGCCCCTTCCCACCCAACCCATTCCATGATGACCTGGGGAATGAAGACAGGATCATCTCAAGGGTGTGAGGAGGCCTTAAGCTGTTCCTGCACCTGTGCAGGTGGGGATTGGTGCAATTCCAGGTGCCTGGAATTGCTGCTCTGGCATCAGCCCCCCTGAGGAGGGAACTTCACCCACTCAGCTCCTGGCAGCTGGCACGGTCGTTAGCAGCCAGTGCTCGTTAATCAGTGCAGCTGATTAATGCTCTGCAGCCTTTTAGAGCTGGAGCCCAGCAGAGCTGTGTCAGACCCTGGCTGCTCTTACTCAGAACAAAGGATGGGTCTGGGTCTGGAGCAGAACATGGGAGCAGTGCCAGCAGGAAGAGCAGAGGTGGGGCAGGGCTGTGTGCCCCTTGCAGCCAAGGATCCTGGTGGTTGGACCTTGTCACCTTCCCTTTCCAGCTGGAAAACCTGCCATGGTTTGCCCTGTTAAAATCCCTTTGTGGAGGGTGTGAACTCACCCAGCTGGGGGGTCAGGTGCTGAGCAGCTGCTCCCCTCTTCTGGGGAGCTCAGGTTGGAGGGGGATTGGGGAAAAAGGTCCAACGCTCTGCTGGTCTGCAGGCTGGGAGTGCCAGGAGAGGTTCTCTCCATGCAGCTGCCAGGCTGCAGTGCTTTGTGCTCAGGGTCCATCAGCTTCTCCCAAAACGTGTGGAGACTTTGTGTCCCACAACCCCTGGGAGGAGCTGGGCTGCAGCTCTGGGGTGTTCCTGGCTGTTCCCCTGGGCCGAGCAGGACAGGGAGCAGGGCAGGGCTGTGTGGGGACCAGGCTGGCATGGCCACCACTGCTGCTGTGTGACAGCAGGAGAGGGCACCCACGAGCTGCCTGTGCCCACAGGGAGCTGCAGCCATGAGTCAGGATGAAGGGGTCCAGGCTTTTCTTTGTGCCTGGGTTGCCAGGTCCCTTCAGTGGTGTCTGGGTGTGTCCCATGGGTGCTGGAGCAGAGCCAGGAATGTTCCTGCCCCCAGACTGGCACAGGGGACTTTGGTGGCATGGATGGCTGCAATGGGCACCTTTCCAAGGAGCTGCTCAGAGCAGGCTGTGGGAAGGGGCTGTGCAGCTGCCAGGAGTGGGAGCAGGGGGTGCCCATGGTGGGGGCATCACTCCTGGGCCGAGGTGCTGCCAGCCCAGCGCCCTGCCTGCTTTGGGACCGACCAGCTGCACCATCACCAGCGCCAGCTCCTGCCTCAAGATGGCATTTTGTGCTTTAAAATGTGTCTGAGGCGCTTGGTGGATGCACAATAACATGGAAATAGTTGTCCGGCAACTTTCTTGCAGTGCCACCTGCAATCCCTCCCAGCAGCTGGGCAGGGAAATCCCAGGGTGCAGCCCCAGGGCTGGACATACCCTGGGCACCTTGGCACAACAATTCATTTATTCCTTCCTCTGAAACCTCGGTGTGCCCAGAGCTGGCTGATCCCAGATCTCTCCCCAGCCAAGAGGGGAACTCTCTGGAGCTCTCTGGTGCAGGAGGCAGCAAGCCCATGGGATCTGTTGTGGGGCAGGGCCAGGCCCCTGTCCTGGGCATGGGATTGCTCCTCCCAAGGTGAGACAAGGGGATGTGCCCAGGAGGAGGGAGCCTGGCAGTGAGAGCACCAGAGGGATGTGGGGTGTCCATGCACACCCCCCTGTGTGATGTGAAACCTCTGAGCCTGGTGAGCCTCCTCGGGGTGGTGACTCCTCATGGCTGGAGTTGTTCCCAAAGGAAGATCAAGGCAATCCCAAAGAAAGGTCCCTCAGTCCTGCTTGAGCAGGCAGCAGGGCGCTGTCAGCCTCGCTTGGGTGAGGTTCTGAATTCCAGGTGTGCTGAATCCCTTCCACCTGGGATCCCCCTGGGGTTTCAGACATCTCGGGATCCCGGGCAGTGACGTGACAAGGGGCATGTGGGAGGCAGGGCAGAGCCCAGAGTGGGGACAGGGCCCTGTGCTGGCCACCTGCTCCCTCCTGCTGGGCTCCTGTTCCTCGGCCTCCCTCAGCCCTGTCCCTCCCTCCTGTGCAGCTGTGAGCTCCGTGTGTGCTCCCATCCTGGTCATGCTGGCAAACCAGTCAGGAGGCACTGGGGTGAACTGGGAAGGGCTCTGTGTGCCTGCACTGGTTCAGGTGACCCTGATCCAAGAGCCCGGGCTGCTCCTCGTGCTCCACCTGCCCCGGGTGCCGCCAGCACCGGGACAAACTCACCGGGCCGGTCTTGGGCTGCAGGAGGTGGGGAAACCTCTCTGGCTCCTGGGCGTGCTGAGGCAGAAGGGGAGCGTGGAGGAGTGTCCTGGGAGCACCTTCCTGGGTGTCGTGCATGCCCCTTCCACGCCGTGACTCCATAATCATTGCTGTGCCTAACCAGAGCCAGGCATGGATTTGGTCATTGCGCTGCTTTGGTCTGTGGTGTGTGTGGTGTGTGCTTCCAGCCCTGTCACAGCATTAACCAGGAGGACTGTTCTGTCTTCCCTCCACAGCCTGGAAGTGTCTCCTCAGGTAGAAACCAGCTCAGATGCTCCTTCTCATTCTGCTCCCTGCTCCCCTGCCCCGTGCCCCGCTGCCCTTCCCGCTAGCATGCCGAGCTCTAACCTCCCTCCCGCTCCTGGAGACAGACAGGCCGGATGCTTGGCCCTCACCAACCCATTCCTCAACTCCCTGCAGAGCAATCCCTTCTTTGAGGAGCTCCTCGCTGACCAGGTACTAAATTCTCCTTCACCTACTCACTTTCTCTCTAGTTTCCCGCCTGGGCCGCGTGCTGCGCCAGAGGTCGCTGGGAGCTTTTGTTCCTCTGAGGATTGCAGTCCCTCTGCCTCCCCAAGGCAGGCTGACCCCGAGGGGGAGTCTCCAGCCCAGAGCGTTGGTGTCCCCGTGCCAGAAACCACTCCCCCAGCACCGGGAGAGCTCCCTCCTGCCGACAGCGACCCCGCCGTCCCCCCGCTGCCCTCGGAGTGGGACGATACCTTTGATGCCTTTGCCACCAGCAGGCTCAAACCAGAGCGCAAGAAGGAGAACTTCTTTGCCTCGGTGGCGGCAGAGGGCATGGCTTTCATCGATGACCCCGACAGAGCCAGCCCGACGGAGAGCTCAGCGGGGCCGCCCTGCCGGAAGGGCTCCAAAGTGTTTGAAAACGCCCCTGAAATCCCTGCAGCTCTCCGCTCTTGGACAAATTTCTCCACTTTAGACGTGGGGGCCAACCTGGTGAGCACCACCCAGGAGGCCACGGTGATCGAGGACGTGCTGAGCCCCGTGTCTGCAGGGTCCATGGCCAGGAGGAGGAAAAGCAGCACGCCCACGGTCTGGACAGCCGCGTTCGCCTCGGGCAACCCCGGGGACAGAGAGGCCTCAGCAGCACGGAGCACCGACAGCAGCGCTAGGGAGGAAGGGGACAGCGGCGAGGAGGAGCCCAGCAGCACGGGGACGAACGGCTGGATGACCATAGCCACGGAAAGCGCCGCCGAGCCCTCGGAGAGCGCCAGGCAGCGCGCGGCTCCCCAGGGCCCCTTCGGCCCGCGCCCGCCCTTCCTGGGCGAGGGCACCTTCGAAGGGCAGAGCTCCTCCCGTGCCGCCAGCTGTGTGCTCCCCAGGAGCTCCTTCCCCCCCGAGGCCCTGCCCGGCGGCGCCGTGGCGGCCGTGCCCCCGCGGGTGCTGGGGGACGTGGCGGGGCAGAGGTTCCCCGAGGAGCCCGGGGGCGGCCGGGAGGACACCCTGGACATCCGCAGCTCGGTGTTCCGCCTGCAGGCCAGCATGCGCCTGGAGGCCAGCGACGGCCTCCTCAAGTTCAGCTCCGACATCCGCGAGAGGCACGTGGTGCTGGCCCCGTGGGCAGCGCCCCAGGGCTGCCAGGAGCCACCGCCCGGCCTGGCCCTGCCGCCCCCCAAACCCCCCCGGCGCTTCGCAGCCGTGGGGGACGGCGAGGAGGAGGAGGAGGAGAAGGAGCCTGGTGGCACCCAGCAAGGCAAACAGGAGCCATGGGGAGACTCGGAGGGCCCAAGAGCAGAGATGGAGTTGGCAGGGAGCCGTGGGAGCGGCGAGCCCTCCGTGCCAGCTCCTCCCAGCCTGCCCACACCGGGAGAGGATGCCGCTGAGGCCGGGAGCGAGATCCCAGCGTCTGAGGGTGCCAGAGCTGCTGCTGTGGACTCAGGAGCTGGCTTGGGGACAGGGGACACCCCTGTGGGGGAGCAGCCATCAGAGATGAATGACACAGATGTGGCCGAGCAGTTTGAGACTTGCACATCCAAGTTCTCCCTGGATGGACTGGACCAGTCGGGTGCTGAGGAGAGCTGGAGCCAGCCCCGTTTATCCCCTCAGGGGGCCACAGACACTGCCAAGTGGGAAACAGCCTCCAAGCAGGAGCTGTTCCCTGAGGAGCTCAGTATTTCAGGACTAAGCCCACCTTCCAAGCTAGACCTGGGCCAGCCGAGCAGCTGGGCAGCTCTGGAAGAGCAGGAGGCAGCTGGGCATCCACACCCGCAGCCCCAAAGGTCAGAATGCAGGCAGAGTCCATCCCAGCTGGAGCTGGCGTGCCCGGATGGTGAGGGGCGAGCAGGAGAGCAGCCCGAGCCCCGTGCCCCTCCCGAGGAGACAGAGCAGGGCAGGACCCCCACCAGCGAGCAGCCCCAGGGGCACTGGGCAGAGAGCAGGGTAGACTTCAAGAAAGCCGATTTCTGGAAGCCAGATAGGGCAGAGAGGCACACACAGGGAGCTTCAGCCCTGAGAAACCCCTTCACCCTGGCGCTGAGCCCGAACTCCCCGAGCAACCCCTTCGTGGAGAAGCCCCCAGCCCCTGTCCCTGTGCAAGCCGTGCTGCCCGAAAAGCTCGAGCAGGGCGACTTCAGCTTCCGCAGCCCACGGGAGGAGCCCCCCGGGCACGGCTTGCAGCCCACTAACGCTACCCCCCTGCATGTCAGCCAGCCCCTGGCCTCCTCCACCCCTTTCCTCGTGGCTGCCACTAACCCCGAGCCGTGTGGCCCCCCCCGGCCCCCCGCGGGGGTCCCCGCCAGCCGCGCCGCCGCCCGCCCGCGCCCGCAGCCCGCGGAAGCTTCGGCGCTCCTGGTTCTGCCCAGGGAGACACGGCCGGCTGAGGAGCCCCGTGGCCAGCAGAGCACCAGGTGAGCACTGCGGGAAGGCGAAGGGCGTGTGTGTGTGGGAGAGGTGAGCCCCCTCTGCTCCCGGCCCCCTCTGCTCCCGGCAGGGCTGCACCCGGCCGGGCTGGCTCCAAGGAGGCTGCTCCAGGCTGCAGCTCCTGTTCCCTCAGCTTCCCCTGGGCACAGAGAGCCCAGCCCCAGCTGCTGGGAGCCTTGGCTCTCTGGGGTGCTGGGGGAGTGGCTGCTGGTGTCCAGTGTGGCCATGCACCCACGACCTGCCCCGGCTGGAAATTGAGAGCTGCACCCATTGCGCCCAGTGCTGATTTTGGCTCCATCATGCCCCCCGTGCTTGCAGAAGAAATGCCTCTTCCATGCCTGCCAGGAGAGCTTGTGGCTGTTTGTGCTCTCCTGAGCTCGCTCATGGCATGTGCACAGCTGCTGCCCCTGCCCTCGCCATCCATCCAGCTTTGGCTGCTTTCCTCTCAGGTGCCCATCGGGTACTGAAAACCTTCTCTCCATAGCCAAAAAAAGAGTTTTTCCACCAGGGCAAAATGCCCCTCTGCCCTCCCTCCTGCCGAGATGCCCATTGATGATGAAGCACGTGGGATTTAGCCTTGAGGCTGATGGGAATGGGAAGGGTGGAAAGAAGGGGCTGTTCCTCCTGCCAGGTCAGTTCTGGCTCTGTACAAATGCCACGAAGCAAAGCTGGTGAGTTCAGGGCATGGAGTCCTGCTCTGTGTCCTTCAGTCCATCTCCTTTTCCTGGTACTCCTTCCCTGCTCTGCCTGGGCTCTGCCTGCCCAGGGGATTAACCAAGCTCCAGCAGGGATTTATTGATCAGCCTCGCTCATCATGAGGCAAATGGAGCTTCCTGGGGGCACCAAAATGGTAAAATCCCACCTGAACAAGATCGGTTGTGGCCCTGGGCGATGGGGCCAGCAGAACTCGATGAGCTCCAGTCCTCCCACCAGGGGATCCCTCCCTGGGCTGAGCACGAGGTGCAAAGTGATCTGGGGAGCAAAGACAGCATCTGGCTGGGTCTGTCACATGACATTTTTTCTTCTTCCGTAAGCCAGATCCTCCCATCATTTTTAATTGGATTATTCATCCACCAGCAGATAGCCTTCTTCAAAATTTGCAGGGCTGCTGCCCAGAAACATGGGTTTTGTTATGCTTCATGGAAAGAGAAGTGTCCTGTGATCCCAGAGGGATAACTGGGGCAGTGAGGGAGGTACAGGAGTCTGTGTTGGTAGAACCTGCTCGTGGCCATCCCAGCCTTGCCTGTGCATCCATGCAGGCCTGGCTGGCCCCTGGGGTGGAATGGGCTGGGACCCCAGAGCTGAAATCCTGGCTATCAGTGCTGGCTTCTGTCGTGACACGTGGCCAGGAGCTCCTGAACTTCCCTGCTTGGGTTCCTCCAGCATGTTTTGGATAATGCTGTGACTGAGGAACCTCTGAAGAGCTCCTGAGGCCTCTGGGAAGGCTCTGAACTGCTTTACAAGACTGGGGAGATGAGAACTGTCCCAGGGTGAGGGAGGAAGGCTGGAAGGGATCTTTTCCCAATCCCCATGGCCATGCTTCCCTTCCCAGGATCATCTCCTGTTGGAATCGCCAGAGGCACACAGATGAGGGCAAGAAAAAAGGTGGGAGGGAAAAGGAAATCCTTCAGCCTTGGAACGGGCATTAAGTGCTGGCTGGAACAAAGGGGAGAGGGCATTGCTGTGGGGTGTGAGAGCTTGGGGTGAGGGGCTTCAGTGGGGTCCCATGGCCCTTCCCAAGGGGCCAGAGGCTCTTTGGTCCTCCTGTGTGGCTGCTGGGGCAAGGCAGCATCAGCTGCAGCCCCGCTGTGTGCAGGGCCCTTTGCTGCTCCCGGGGACCGGGCAGGATGGAGCCTGCACTGCTGGGGACAGCTCACCCCTGGGACAGGAGGGACCCAGGGACAGCCTGGGAGCGTGCTTGGGAGCTCCCCTGCCTGGGATCCAGCAGCTGTGCAGCTCCTGCTGCACTGGGATCCAGCAGCTGTGCAGCTCCTGCTCCCTTGGCTGTGGGGCTGGCCCAGCATCCTGTGGCACTTGCAGGTGACAGGACTGGGGGTGTCCCAGGTGCCGAGGTGGTGGCACAGGCTGTGCCTCCCTCGTGTCAGGAGTGCAGAGTGCCGTGTTCCGAAAATGGTGCCAGGTTGGGTGACCTCACCTTGGTGATCCCGCGGAGCCCCTGGAGCTGGGAGCGTGGCTTGGCCCAGCCAGGGCCAGCCTGGAGAGCTGACCCCCAGCCCAGCCATTCCCCTCCTCCTCTAGAGCCCTGCTCCGTGGAGGGCTGGCCCCTGGGGCTGTGTGGTGCTCCAGGCACAGCAGCTGGGCCATGGGAGAGGGATTCCCTGGGATTGCTTCTCTGTGAGGAGCATTTTGATGAGCATTTAAAGGCTCCCTTTGGGAGCTGCTGAGGGAAATGCACCCGTTTCTTCCCTGTGCTCTGCAGTGACCTTGGGAGCACCAGTGAAAGCTGGGACAGGGCAAGGCTGGCTCAGAGAGGGGGACAGGGCTGGGCCAGTGTCACCCTGAGATGTTCCACCTTGGCCCTAAGCTCCATCATGACTCACATCCACTTGGGATGCAGTTCTGGGTTAGGAGCTGGTGAGCAGCTGATTCCATGCTCCAGCTGATGTTCATGGACCAGCAGAGGAATCTGGTCCAGCTTCTTGGAAGGTGCACCAGCCCTTCAGACCTGGTGTGAGGTGTGATCTCCCCTGCTCCTCCGGAAGGACCTGGTGCCACCATCCCAGCACAAACCCAGCTTGAGGAATGTCTCCAGCTCTTGGATCCTGCCAGGGACAGCCGGAGCAGGCAGAGCCCTGCTGTGCTCAGCCCAGCCCTGCACCCTCGGTGGGAAGCAGGAGAATAATGATTTCTTTTCAAAAGTGCCTTTCCCAGCCCTGCAGCAGTGTCTGTTCCCACCGGCCATGGGGCTGGCAGCTGCCTGTCACCGCCCCTGGGTGGGAATATCTCCCTGTTTCAAACCCCTCCAAGCATTCCCTCTGCCTTCCAGGGCAGCTTGGTCCCAGGGAGGCTCCCAGCCACGCTCTGGTTGTAGCTCTGTGCTGGCTGTGGGCTGCACAAGGTGACAGTGACATGTGGGGCTCAGCCTGGCTGTGATGGGCAGCCCTGGTGGCTCTCCCAGCCCTCTGTCCTGCAGTGTCCTGGTGCTTGTAGCTCCTGCTCAGGGTTTAGTCCCAGTGGCAGTGCTGGAGCCTCCTGTGCAGAGCAGCAGCTCCTGCAGCCCCTGGCACTGTCAGTGGCTCCCCTGAGGGCTGTGGGATCCCTCTCCATCCTTGCCAGCTGCCCAGGAGTGCTGGGCTCTGTTCTTGTGCTTGGACAGCTCTGCCAAGGGATCAGAGAATCACAGAGTGTGCTGAGCTGGGAGAGACCCACCAGAGTCATCCATCCAGCCCTGGCCCTGCCCAGACCCCCAGATCCCACCCTGGCATCCCTGGAGCGCTGCCCAAAGGCTCCTGGAGCTCTGGCAGCCTCGGCGCCGTGCCCATTCCCTGGGCAGTGCCAGCACCCTCTGGGGAAGAGCCTTTCCTGATCTTAGCCTGACCTGCCCTGGCACAGCCCCAGCATTCCCTGTTCCTGTCCCTGGGCACCAGAGGGAGGAGATCAGAGCTGCCCCTGTGCTGTCCCTCGGGAGGAGCTGATCCTTTGGCTTGCTGGAGCAGGTTGGTGGCTGCCAGTGCTGTCCCCTCCCAGCACAGGGACAGCAGGGCATCATCGTGGTTGAAGAGGATTTCCATGTCCTTGGTGTGTCCTGATCCTGTTTCCATCCCCATGGATGGAGGTTTGGATGTTTCCATCCCCATGGGTGGAGGTTTGGATGTTTCCATCCCCATGGATGGAGGTTTGGATGTTTCCATCCCCATGGATGGAGGTTTGGATGTTTCCATCCCCATGGATGGACGTTTGGGTGTTTCCATCCCAATGGATGGAGGTTTGGATGTTTCCATCCCCATGGATGGAGGTTTGGATGTTTCCATCCCCATGGATGGAGGTTTGGATGTTTCCATCCCCGGGCCAGTGTCACCCTGAGATGTTCCACCTTGGCCCTAAGCTCCATCATGACTCACATCCACTTGGGATGCAGTTCTGGGTTAGGAGCTGGTGAGCAGCTGATTCCATGCTCCAGCTGATGTTCATGGACCAGCAGAGGAATCTGGTCCAGCTTCTTGGAAGGTGCACCAGCCCTTCAGACCTGGTGTGAGGTGTGATCTCCCCTGCTCCTCCGGAAGGACCTGGTGCCACCATCCCAGCACAAACCCAGCTAGAGGAATGTCTCCAGCTCTTGGATCCTGCCAGGGACAGCCGGAGCAGGCAGAGCCCTGCTGTGCTCAGCCCAGCCCTGCACCCTCGGTGGGAAGCAGGAGAATAATGATTTCTTTTCAAAAGTGCCTTTCCCAGCCCTGCAGCAGTGACTGTTCCCACTGGCCATGGGGCTGGCAGCTGCCTGTCACCGCCCCTGGGTGGGAATATCTCCCTGTTTCAAACCCCTCCAAGCATTCCCTCTGCCTTCCAGGGCAGCTTGGTCCCAGGGAGGCTCCCAGCCATGCTCTGGTTGTAGCTCTGTGCTGGCTGTGGGGTGCACAAGGTGACAGTGACATGTGGGGCTCAGCCTGGCTGTGATGGGCAGCCCTGGTGGCTCTCCCAGCCCTCTGTCCTGCAGTGTCCTGGTGCTTGTAGCTCCTGCTCAGGGTTTAGTCCCAGTGGCAGTGCTGGAGCCTCCTGTGCAGAGCAGCAGCTCCTGCAGCCCCTGGCACTGTCAGTGGCTCCCCTGAGGGCTGTGGGATCCCTCTCCATCCTTGCCAGCTGCCCAGGAGTGCTGGGCTCTGTTCTTGTGCTTGGACAGCTCTGCCAAGGGATCAGAGAATCACAGAGTGTGCTGAGCTGGGAGAGACCCACCAGAGTCATCCATCCAGCCCTGGCCCTGCCCAGACCCCCAGATCCCACCCTGGCATCCCTGGAGCGCTGTCCAAAGGCTCCTGGAGCTCTGGCAGCCTCGGCGCCGTGCCCATTCCCTGGGCAGTGCCAGCACCCTCTGGGGAAGAGCCTTTCCTGATCTTAGCCTGACCTGCCCTGGCACAGCCCCAGCATTCCCTGTTCCTGTCCCTGGGCACCAGAGGGAGGAGATCAGAGCTGCCCCTGTGCTGTCCCTCGGGAGGAGCTGATCCTTTGGCTTGCTGGAGCAGGTTGGTGGCTGCCAGTGCTGTCCCCTCCCAGCACAGGGACAGCAGGGCATCATCGTGGTTGAAGAGGATTTCCATGTCCTTGGTGTGTCCTGATCCTGTTTCCATCCCCATGGATGGAGGTTTGGGTGTTTCCATCCCCATGGATGGAGGTTTGGGTGTTTCCATCCCCATGGATGGAGGTTTGGATGTTTCCATCCCCGTGGATGGACGTTTGGGTGTTTCCATCCCCGTGGATGGATGTTTGGATGTTTCCATCCCCATGGATGGAAGTTTCCATCCCCGTGGATGGACGTTTGGATGTTTCCATCCCCGTGGATGGATGTTTGGATGTTTCCATCCCCATGGATGGACGTTTGGGTGTTTCCATCCCAATGGATGGACGTTTGGGTGTTTCCATCCCCATGGATGGATGTTTGGGTGTTTCCATCCCAGTGGACAGATATTTGGGTGTTTCCATCCCCATGGATGGATGTTTGGGTGTTTCCATCCCAGTGGACAGATATTTGGGTGTTTCCATCCCCATGGATGGATGTTTGGGTGTTTCCATCCCAGTGGACAGATACTTGGGTGTTTCCATCCCAAGGATGGTGCAGAGCTGTGCCTGCTCCTTGCAGGGAGGGAGCATCAGGTCACTTCTCTTTCCATCACTCTGACAAGGAACTGGACTTTGTTCAAACCCAGAAAGAACCTTTTGGGTGAAGAGTGAGGCAAAAATAAATGAAAATCTAATTCCCCCTTAACTGGCTCCTCACCCTCCTTTTGGCCTCGTGGAGGGGGCAAATTCTGTGGTGGCTTTCAGGCAGGGGACATTGAACTCTTGGGCTGGAGCCCCAGTGGTGACCCCAGAGTAATCCGGGGGTCCCTGGGCAGCAGAAAGCTGCTCTGGGCAGTGGTGCAGCAGGCTCTGATCACACTGGAGCTGCATTTGAAGCCCTGGCACTTGGGAGTTGTGACCCACAGTGTTCCCAGTGAGGTGGGCAGTGCAGCACCAGCATCTCAGCCAAACGTGTGCTGGATCTCCTTATCTCCTGCCTGGGTGGGAGCAGCTCCACGGGCCCTGCCCTGCCCTGCTGGCTCTCCTCAGAGCAGGAGAGCTGTGGGAGGCACGGAGCCCTGGGTTCAGCTGCTCCTCAGTCCCCTGGGGGTGCCATCCCTGTTCAGGGCCAGCGAGAGGGAGCTCTGGGGGTGCTGACTGTCCCACCCTTGTGCCCGCAGCCCCCACCCCGTGAAGCCCCTGAGTGCTGTGCAGGAGGGCTCCAGCGAGAGGAAGCAGCAGCACAGGGCCAGCCTGAGCTCGGCGCTGAGCAATGGCCTGGAGAGGCTGAGGACAGTGACCACGAGCAGCGTCCAGCCCCTGGCGCCCTCCCAGCCGGACAAAACCGAGCCCAAGCTGAAGGTAGGAGGCTGTGCCACACCTGCTGCAGGTGTGCTGCTGGCAGGGGCAGGGCCTGCCATGGGCTGGGTGAGGGTGCAGGCCTTGGGCTGCTCTGCCTCCCTCCTCCCATGGTTCTGCACATCCTCACCCCATCGTTCTCCTGTCACCTGCCTTGCTTTGGGGGTGGTGTTGTCCAGTGTGTGAGAGAACCAATGCTTGTAGAAATGTGGACTGGGTTGGGTTGGAAGGGACTTTAAATCCCATCCAGAGCCACCCCTGCCATGGGCAGGGACACCTCCCACTGTCCCAGGGTGCTCCAAGCCCCATCCAACCTGGTCTCCACAAGGCATGGAAGGTGGAAGGTGTAGTAGCTGCCTGCCTGATGCCCTCAAGGGTTCCTCATCCTGGCAGGGGGAAGGTCCTTTCTGGAGCTTTGCTGACCTGGATAGACTCCAAACGCTGCTGTGCTGGGGCCAGCAAAGCACCTGGGGCACCTCTGGGGACACAGAGGGTGTTCTGAGGGTGACCCCTCCATCCCTCCATCCACTCCCATTCCGTTTGTCTCCCCAGTGTCACATGGAAAACGCTGCTGGGGTTCACCTGATTGAAGGATGAGCACAACCCTGTGGGTCTCAGAAGCCCTGTGGGTGCTGCAGGGAGTTCAGCTGGTGCTTTATGAGCACACGAGGTCTCTGTGGGTCCCCTGTGCTGCTCCCGCCTCTCCAGTTTGGAAAGACAGACATGGGGAGCAGGGGTGCTCTGGCTGTCGCTGCATGCTGCAAACACCACCAGGAGCAGAGGTTTCAGTCCCAGTCCTGAATGTCCCTCTTGCTTCCCAGCAGGACCCAGCCCAGCTGGACCAGTCGGCCAAGTATTACCACCTGACCCACGACGAGCTGATCCAGCTGCTGCTGCAGAAGGAGGGCGAGCTGAGCAAGAAGGAGGAGCACATCCAGGAGCTGGAGAACTACATTGACCAGCTGCTGGTGCGCATCATGGAGCAGTCCCCCACGCTGCTGCAGATCCCCCTGGGCGGGGGCCAGGCCCCGTGAGCCCGCCCGGGGCAGCAGCACCCAGCAGAGCTGTGCCCCCCGAGCACGCTGCCATCGCCCCCCAGCCCTCCTGCCCCCGAGGCCTGCAGTGGCTGCTGTCCCCAGAGTTAGCAGGGAGGGTCACCTGCTCCTGTCCAGCCCAAGCTTAGCCCAGCTCGGCTCCAGGGAGCTGTAGGGTGGTGGGAGCACCCTATGGGGAGGAGCAGAGCCCTCCCCACGAGGCAGTTCCATTGCTGTGACCGAGTGCCACCTCCCGGGCACTCCTCCTGCCAGAGCTTTAACTGACCCCTGGACATCCAAGAGCTGGAAACCATCTCCTCGTGACTTCATCCTGCTGCTGCTCCTCTGCCCACACTCCTCCTCTCTGCCCTGAGGGTGTCCCCTGGCTGCTGGGTGGTGTTGGGCTGGCAGTGACACTGGGGACACTGAGTCCCAGTGAGGCTCCCCCAGCACGTTCCTGGCCAGAGCCTGTGGGACGCCCCTTCCCTCCCACCCCAGTTACCCCCAGTGGAGGGTGAAGAGCCAGCTCCAGTTTGTGCCACTCCCTCACCACGCCTGTGGGAGATGCTCCACAAAGGGACAGCGTCGGGCCTGGGGTGGTGTCAGAGCCTGGCTGGGCCATGCTGGCTCTGTCACAGCACCAGTGCCAGGGTGACACTGCCTGCACTGGGAATATGGCAAAGGGAACACGGGCTGGTGTCCCAGCAGTGCTGCAGGAGATCCTCTGCACGCCCCACCCAGCAGGGACCAGGAGTGCAGAATCCACACTGAATTCCAGCTCAGTATTCCAAGGAATGCCTGCTCACAGCTGCCCCACCCTGCCTGTGCCTCATCTGTCCAGCACAGCCAGAAACTGCCCCCAGAGCAAGCCTGGGGGGTCTGACCCCTCTGCAGGGCCCCTGTGGGGTCAGGCACCCCAAACCCTCCTGGCACAGCCCAGAATTCCCAAATCCCGGCAGGGCAGTGCCCAGCCTGCTCCCCTGATGGCATCCACACGCTGGGATCAGCTCTCCAGGGCAGTGCCCAGCCTCAGGGGCAGCTCTGTCCCTGCTGACCCGAGTGACCTCCCAAAGATGTAGCAGCGTGAGACCGCGACTCTTTTCTTTGTTCCAGTTGTAAACTTGTCTGTTGCAATTTTCATCAAATTCAGTACATGATTTCTTCTGGTGTGCCAATTTCCCTTTTTGTTTCCAGTTTTGAAGTAAGGGAGTGGTTGGGGTGAGGGTCGTAAGCTGGCCAAGGCTACAGGGACCCCCTTGAAGGCCTGAGGGGATCCCATACTCCACAGATAAGGAACACTCCTGGGGCAGCACTTTGGGATGGAGTGAGGATGAAGAAAGTGTAGGACTGGTGTAATTGCACCAGTGTGGAGGGGTATAATTTTTGTCAAATGGGGTTACATCTTTCCTAAGGGTAGACCTAACAAGTTCAAAGTGGGTCAGGTGTTGGTTGGGAAGTTGATATTGAAATTGGACACAGTACTGAGCTTTGGAGGACCCCAAAAGCTTTAATTCCTGGGGTTCCTCTGGTGCTCGAGGCAGGGTCCTGGTCCACCCATCCCAAATGCCTACTGGACTGGGTTTCTTATCTGTGTGTGGGAATTCATTTGCTGCTCAGGAATCCCCAGCAGGCACGTTGCCAGCAGGCTGTGCACACTGCCCATGGCCAGGCAGGGATTGTCTTGCTGTAAGTCCTGGCCAGCGTGACCCACATGTTCTGACTGGGCTGAGGGACAGCCCATGCACCAGCTGATGGAAAGGTGCTCGAGCAGCACCCAAAATCCTGTCTGGAGCAGCTGGGGATTCCCTGCCACCAGGGACATGGCAGGGTGCTTGGGGTGAGTTGATCTGCGAGTTTGAAAAAATGGATTTTTAGACTTACATGGCTTTAACAGCCCCTCATATCTTCCCATCTCATTCCCTCAGTTTTTACTGAGTTGAAAAGGGGAGGGAAAACAAGAGGGGATAACAGTGCAACAAATTAAAGAGGGGTAGCAGTAAAACCAACTAAAGTGCAGAACAGTGAGCGAATGGAACTCAACAGTCCTATCATCTTCTGGAGCAGTGCAGAGTCATCTTGTGTGACAAATGTCTGCTTTTACAGTCCTTTCCTTCTCTCCTCCTGAGCTTGACCTCGTTTCTGTCTCTGAGGCCAGGAGGAGTGTCTCTGGATGCTGCTGCACGTGGCAGTTTGATGTACAGCCTGACATTGCTGCCTGGAATCCACCTTGGGCCAGACCCTGTAGATATGCAAGCATAGCCTCTCCCCCAGTAATTAATTTAAACGGGCCCCAAAGACGGGGTCTTTGATCAGCACAGGGGGTTTCTCTGTGAGCTGAGCTCTGTGCATGTTGGAGAAGTGCCTGACAGTGGGGGGAATTGGCTCCACTAATGAATTATTAAGAAAATTGATGACATAAAGAGCCTTATATAATCTTTCTACATTCGGTAGTGTTCCAACTCCCCCGTGCTGCTGGTCAAGGACTCTCGTGAGTGCACAGTGAGCCCTCTCTACAGCAGATTGCCCTGTTGGTGAGGGGAATGCCAGTGCTGTGTTTCACCCCCCATTGATCTGGAACTGTCTGAAACTTTTGGAGGTGTAAGCAGGACCATTATCAGTTTGGAGAATGCCTAGGGTGGAAAACACTAGGAGGAAATGTTGGATGCCATCTTTTGTCTTTTCTCCTGCATGGGCTGATGCAAACACTGCCCCAGAGAACGTATCTATGGACACATGAATGTATTTTTGTCTCCCAAAAGGTGCATCATGTGTGACATCTGTTTGCCAAAGCTAAAACTTTCGAGGCCTTGGGGGTTAACCCCAGCCCTCATGGAGGGAAAAACAAACTTGGCAATTGGGGCAGGAGCCCACAATTGCTCTTGCTCGTTCCCTTGGATTTGAAACATCCGGACAAGGGCTGGTGCATTTTGGTGAAAAAACTGATGGCTCAATTTAGCCTGATTAAAAATGTCTGCTAGGGTGGTCTGCACTGCCATGGCTAAAATATCTGCCCTCCAGTTGCCTTCAGTGACTGGTGCTGGGAGGTCAGGGTGTGATGTGATGTGGTCGCTCTTGGTGGGAGAGGAGGTGTGTTAATTCTGAGAGCAAGCCTTATAAATCTGGATTTGGCACTTCCTCTAACAAGGAATGTTCTGCTCTTTCAGCTATCCCAGCAACACAGGCCAAATCAGTAACTAAATTTGGGGGTTGTTTGAATTTCTCAAAGGCTCTGACAACGGCTGCTAATTCTGCTATTTGTGGGGATCCTCAAGCAATCTGAACATCAGACTCCCACTCCTGAGTGTCAGGATTCTTCCACATCATAACTGACTTGTGGGATCCCCCTGAACCATCAGTAAATACAGTCTATGCCTTTAGAGGGGTTCTACTTCTTCATGAATTCGGGACCAAATTAAAGCAAGCATGGAATAGTTTGTTTTGGTAGGTGGATGGAGATTTGGCCTGGGTAGCTGTTCAGAGTGAGCTGGAGGTGCTCATTGGTTTGGAGCAAAGGCTCTAGACTGTTCAATGTCCCTGGAAGGTCCATGCCTGTGCATTCACACCCTGCTGGGCTCCTGAGGGGAGCTCTGGCCTTTGTGGTAAGCTGGGCCACACGCTCCTGAGGAGGTGTGATGGTATTACTGGGTGTGTGTGCTGGAAACACCCACTCTGTAATTAGGAACTGATCTCTCAGAGTGGCATCCCGCTGGAAAAGGAGCCCATGGAACTTGGGTGACCTACCCAGCATGACAAACTGGAAAGGCAGGGTAGGATCAGCAGTGGGCTGGTCTCGTGGACAGTGCCTCTGATACCTTCTGGATCACTTGATGGGTGTCATGGTTTGGTTTTGGCATAGAGCCAGGGCCTCCATGGCGGGTGTATTTCTAAAATGGTTATTGTGAGATGTGACTCGGGAACAGAACAAAGCAGGCTCTTACTTGGGGATGGAGGGAAAAACACAACACTTTATTAATTACAATATCTAAAAAGGAACACATACAAAGCTAAGAATGAAAACCTTCCAAATACATTCTTCCTCCCCCCTCCCTCTTTTCCACAGAATGAAAAAACAGCTTAGATTTCTACCCAGTCACCATCTTTCAGGTAATTAACTTCCAGTCTATTACTACCTTTCAAATAATCAACCTTCAAATCTGTCAGGGAGAGAGGAGTCCCCCCGTGCACCATAGCTTCTTCTAGAAGCACAATTGAAACTTCTTGTGCTTCTGTGTCACCCATGGCCTTGCTCAGAGAACATCGGCCCTCGTGACTTCTCCCCCCCATGTCCAGTGCTCTCACCACTGGACACGGGCCAGGACTGCTTTTAGGGCTCCCCGTTTAAAGATGCTCCACTCAGTTTTAAAAGCAGCAGTCTCTCAACTTTGGGACACCAATCCTCCCCAGATTTCACCACCTGGGGCCGAGGGGCCTCATGAACAGAGATCTCAAACCCTCTCTGAAGACAGAGGGCATCTCACACGGGGTCTCTTCTACCCCTGCACCTTGCAGGGCTCTGGCCTCCCTCCCCACAGGCCACATGGCCTCCCCTGTCCCACCCAGACGCAGCTGGGCAGGGGAGAGGTCAGACTCACTCACCAACTCCGGATTCTAAAGAGGAAGTTCTCTGGGAATCTCCTGCTTTTAACCCCTGTGTGTTCTCAGAGGCGTATCCAAACCTCAGTGGCCACCACAAGTGCCAGTTTCAAATCTGGTTGGGAGTCTTCTGCTTTTAACCCCTGTGTGTTCTCAGAGGCGTATCCAAACCTCAGTGGCCACCACAAGTGCCAATTTCAAATCTGGCCACTGATTGGTTTGACCACAACTTTTCCAAAAACTCACTTCCGGGTCAAACCAAGACAACGAGCCTCCAGTGTGATGGTTCCTGGGGAGTCGAGGCCATCAGGGCCTCTCAGGAGGTTGAAAAGGGGTGATGAGTCCTCAGTTGTGATCCCTAGCAGTGGACAGACCCAGCTGATGCTCCCACACGGCTGATGCAGGTCCCTCAGGGTCCCTGGGTTGTCCTGGATGGTGAGCTGCTGGGGCACGGTGGTCCTTCCACTGGTTCAGAGCCCAAGGTAGGTCCATGGGCAGGTGTGCTGAATCTTCTCTGTAGCAGTCTCAAATCCTGCTCCCTCGATGGCTTGGACAGTCTGCTTGAGAACAGTCTCCAAGGAAGAGTCAGGCTCAGTGCATGCAAGGATATCATCCATGTAGTGAAGAATTACGGCACCTGGGAACTTCTCCCAAATGCACGAGAGAATGTGGGCAACAAACATTTGGCAGATGGCTCCTGAGTCTTCATCCCTTGAGGAAGAACTTGCCATTGATACCTTTGTCTATTAATTGATGGCACAGAAAATACAAATCTTGGGGCATCTCTGGGATGGAGTGGGATATTAAAAAAACAGTCCTTAATATCAATGACTGCCAATTTCCAATCTCGGGAGCATTGAAGGTGAGGGCAGGCCAGGCTGTAAAAGGGCTCATGTTTTTAGTGACCTCACTGGCCTTTCTGAGGTCTTGCAGGAGCCTCCACTTGTCTTTGCCTGGTTCATGAATGACAAAGAGAGGGGTGTTCCAAGGGCTTAGATTGCTGTTCCTGCACTAGGGATTCCAGCACCTTTGGTTTGACTTCTGCCAGGGGCCACTGTTCCACCCAGTTGGGACCATCCCATTTCCATGTGAGTGGTGAGGTGGGACACTCTGCAGTGGCCCCAGCTGGAAATCCTGTGGGTGTGAAGGGATTTCTGGTCTCATTCCCCATTCTCTGCCCCAAAAAATGACAGGTGCCTTTACCACTAAAGGTCTCGCTGTGGCAATTTGACCCTCAGGACCTCCAGTGAGGATTGACCTTTTACTGCACACAGAGGTGGCAGCTGCTCCAGTCCCAGAGATGCCTCCACTGGCTTGGAGCATTGAAGGTGAGGGAGGCCAGGCTGTAAAAGGGCTCATGTTTTTAGTGACCTCACTGGCCTTTCTGAGGTCTTGCAGGAGACTCCACTTGTCTTTGCCTGGTTCATGAATGACAAAGAAAGGGGAGTTCCAAAGGCTAGTGGATGGTACTCTGTGGCCCTTAGACAGCTGTTCCTGCACTAGGGATTCCAGCACCTTTGGTTTGACTTCTGCCAGGGGCCACTGTTCCACCCAATTGGGACCATCCCATTTCCATGTGAGTGGTGAGGTGGGACACTCTGCAGTGGCCCCAGCTGGAAATCCTGTGGGTGTGAAGGGATTTCTGGTCTCATTCCCCACTGTCTCTGCCCCAAAAAATGACAGGTGCCTTTACCACTAAAGGTCTCGCTGTGGCAATTTGACCCTCAGGACCTCCAGTGAGGATTGACCTTTTACTGCACACAGAGGTGGCAGCTGCTCCAGTCCCAGAGATGCCTCCACTGGCTGGCACCAGTTCCCAGCCCTGTGGCCACCTGGAGTGAGCAATGATGGTGACATCTGACCCGGTGTCAGCCACGCCTGCAGGAGAAACTTTGGTACCTTTGTTAGACAAGCCACATTCTGTAGGATGTCTGCCTTGGCAGAGCATCTCTGCCCAAAAAACCATAGGGTTTTCTGGCAAAACATCAGCCCAGGTGCGTACAAGAAAAGCTTGGGTATAGGTGAGCCCTTAGGTGCCAGCGTGGGTCTGTACATATTACAGTCACAGCAACCTCATCCATTGGCCCCACAGTCTGGACTTGTGGGAGCACGTGTAACTCATTAACAGTGTCTCCTGTGATTAAAACATCTCCTGGCCCATCAGGAGTGCAGGTTTGCCAGCTGGAGTTCAGCAGATCACCTCATCCTTGGATGCAACAGGAAGGGCACTCACCAGCGTTCTCTGTGTCCCTCCCTGCCTGGGAGAGTCAGCACCCTTCCTCATAGCTGGTGGTGTCACAGATGGCTTCTTGGTGCCTCAGGGCTCTGAGGTTGTGGGAAAAGAGGGACAAAACAGCTCAGAAGAAAGATCTTGCAGGAGTTTGGCTGACTTGACCAGCCCTTGAGGTCTTGAGGGTTCTTAGCTGGCCCCTGAGAAATTCCCCAGAACACTGGGGATTTTTCCCTTGGGGAATTGGAGCACTTGGCTGCAACTTAAAACCCAGTGCCTGGCCAGTGGAGGTGCTTTCAAAGGGCAAACGAGAAGTCCCATGGTCAGGGCGCCAGCTTGTAGCAGCATGGGGTGTAGAGGGTGGAAGCTGCTGCCTAAGTCCCAAGAGCATCTCCTGTGGAAAGGCTGCTTGGGTAGGAATTCAGGCAAGGCAGTCAAGTGCACTTTTTTTGGGGGGGGGGTTTTAAAAACTTTTTGTGGTTTTGTTTTGTTTTTTTGTTGTTTTTTTGTTTTGTTTTGTTTTGGGGTTTTTTGTTTTATTTTTTTGGGGGTTTTTTTTGTTGTTTGGTTTTTTTGGGGTTGTTTTTTTTTTTTGTTTTCTGGTTTTTGTTTGTTTGTTTTGGGGGGGGTTTTTCTGCCAGGTCCCATTTATTCTAGAGTTGTGGCTGCTGGAGCCCTGCAGGCACAGGACAGCAGGGAGGGGTTTGTCCCCGAGCTCCTAGGGACATCTAGGGAGGCTGGTGGTGGCAGGACAGCCGTCTGCCCGCAGTGAGGGGCTGGAGGAGCCCCCCAGGCTGTGCAAAGGTGGGATCTGCTCCGTATGTGGCTCCAGGAGCAGCAGGGAGCGGGGACAGCCCCGTCCCTGCTCTGTCCCCACCCTGGCAGCTCCTCAGCCGCTGGCGCTGTCCTCGCTGTCCTCGCTGTCCTCGTAGGCTCCCAGCAGACCCAGCGAGGACGTGGCTGCTGCTGCTGCTGGAGGCGAGCCGGTGGTGGCCGTGCTGCCTGGGGTTTCCATCCCGTTATCCAGGGCAGGATCTGGCTTCTGCGTCCTGCGGGCCACCAGCCCGGCCAGCCGGGCCCTGGTGCTGAGCTTGCCCCCGCTGCGCTCCCAGCTCTGCGTCCTCGGCCTCTTGCTCTGGGGGCCCTCCTGCAGGATGGCCGTGGGTTTTGTTTGGGCCGTGGGATTTGGACAGCGCTTTGCTGGTTCCTCGTCAGAGTCAGAATCCACCAGGAGCCGGCGGTTCTGGGCCTGCTGCAGCATGGCCTTCATCTCCTGCTCGTCCTCCTCCTGCTCCTTGCGCCTCTGCTCCTCCTCCAGCTCCTTGTGCTGCTTCAGCATGGCCTCAAAATCCACGTTGGCCTGGCGCTGGTTGAGCTCCTTCAGCTCCTGCAGGTTCTCCAGGATCTCCATCTCCAGCTTGGATTCCTTGATTCGGTTCTCCAGGACCTTCATGGGGTTGTTGAGCTCCTCCTCTTCCCTCTCCTTCTGCATCCTCTTCTCCTCCTCCTCCAGGAGCTTCTCTGCCTGGAAGTTCCTGGTGGCGCCGTGCTCCATGGCGTAATCCGTGTTCTGGGGGTCTGTCTTGAAGGTGATCTCAGCCAGGCAGCGCGTGCACTTGATGTAGAAGCGGAAGATGGGCAGCCCCAGGTAGGACTCGTTCAGCACCGTCTCCTTGCGGGCGTTGAACTTCTTGCCCTTGTAGATGTACTCCCCACACGTCCTGCACCTCATGTTGAAGGGGGCCATCAGCCTCACCACGTACTGCCGGTCCTTCGGGAGCTTCAGCCGCGGGATCTTGGCGGGATCGAAGTCCGGGGGGTAATATTTGTTCAGCACTTTCCGTTCCGCCATGGCTGCGGCTTCTCCCGCGCCGCTCACCCAGCTGGAGTGAGCCTGGGGCTTAGATGCTGCAAGGGCTGCCTGATTCCCAAAAGGGGTCTTGCCTGGGTTTGAAAAGCCAGGTGGATGCGGGGCAGGAGAAAGCTGCTCCTGTGGGAGTGCAGGGCAGGAGAAAGCTGCTCCTCTGGGAGTGCAGGGCAGGAGAAAGCTGCTCCTCTGGGAATGCAGGGCAGGAGAAAGCTGCTCCTGTGGGAATGCAGGGCAGGAGAAAGCTGCTCCTGTGGGAATGCAGGGCAGGAGAAAGCTGCTCCTCTGGGAATGCAGGGAGCAAAGGCTGCTGTGCTGTTCCAAACCCCAGCTTATATCCATGTGGAGGAATGCTTGGCTCCTCCCCTGGGCAGAGCATCTCCCAATGGGATGATAGGATTTTATCAGTGTCACTCAATGGCCCATTGACAGTAGATAATTAACAATAAATGGCCCATTGACAGTAGATAATTAACAATAAATGGCCCATTCACAGTAGATATTCCCCAGAGGGAGGATTGGCTGTGGAAGAGATAAAGAAAACTTCCCAATGAACAGAAGAGAACTGCCCCACCTCTGACAGATGGGAACACAATACACAATTACATCTTTGAACCTAAGGCACATCTCCTGTGGGAAAGGAGTAGGAGTACCCTGCTTGGGCAGGAATTCAGGCAAAGCACTCCAGTCCACACACCACACTCACCAGGGCTAGCTCAGCCAAGACAGGCAAGAAGGGCCTTTTTGTGATAAATTCCAGCGAGGTTTATTCCAGCAGGCTGAAGGGAAATCAGGGACAAAAGATGAGGCCATGTGCTCTGCATAATCTTGGTGGCACAAAGGGCAGGGCAGAGGGCACTGCCCTGCAGGGAAGAAGGGGCAGGCACCAGCGATGGCACAGCCTGTGAGGAAACAGGGAAAGGAGGAACTCGAGAATTTGGGACACATGGGGAAGGCAGGCTGGGAGGATCAGTGTTGGGAGGCTCCATGGGGAAGTCTTCTCTTTCAGCCTGGGTGGGGAAAACTCTGTGGTAGATCTTTCCAGGGTGAAGCCTGGAGGCTTCAAAGGATTGCACACCTGATTTACCTGGCTGAACTGGAGCTACTGTGGAAGGGGATAGGAAGGAAGTTGTTCCTTCCCTCATCCTGCCAGGATTTTGGCTGGAGAAGATGCCTGTGCAGGCAGAGGGGCAGTTGGGGTGGGATTTCAACATGAAAGGCATCTTCTCCTTCTCTACCTCCCAAAGTCACTGTGTTCTTTTAAAACCTCCCTGCTCTTCTCTTCACTTGCTTCAGTGTAGCCCATGACTTGGAAGAATGGTGCCTTTTGCCACAGGCCAGTAGCAGTTTCCTACCCCCAAAAGGCTCTGCAGCCCAAGTCTCAGTCCCACACCACCTGCCTGGGGCAGGTTCCTCCTCTGTTTCCTCCTCATCCAAGAAAAGGGAGTTAATTGTCACCCAGAGCAGCCTCCCCTGGCTGGGCAGGTGCCCTGGCTCCTGCAGGAGTTCTGCACAGCAGCTCAGGAGAGGTGGGGCACAGATCAGCAGGCAAGGGCAGCCTGAGCATTCCAGGCTAAAATCCAGCTGGGGACAGACAGAGTTGGGTCAGGAGAAACAGAGCTCTGGTTTGTCCAAGCCTTGGAGCCCTGCACGAGCAGCAGGAGGAGGATGTGCTCCCTGGGAGAACAGCAGCCAGGAACCTCCCACTCCTTCCTGCCTCTCCCCTCCTGGGAAATACCTGGGCTTTGCACTGCTCCAGCTGCTCCTCCTGTGTTTCCTCTCTGTGTGTGTCTGGGTGGGATGGGTGTCCAAGGGAAGGTGTTTCTCCCGTTCCAGAAAGTGCCAGGAACCTCTGTGCCTGTAGGGTCACATCCCATGGCCTGGCAGCCCAGCCCCTCTCTGGGTGTCTGTAGGGTCACATCACATCCCATGGCCTGGCAGCCCAGCCCCTCTCTGGGTGCCTGTAGGGTCACATCCCATTTCTGTAGGGTCAGACCACATCCCATGGCCTGGCAGCCCAGCCCCTCTCTGGGTGCCAGCTGTGCCCCTGTGAGCTGCCGCGGCCCGGGAGGAGCTGTGGGCACTGGAATGAGTGCTGGGCCAAGGCAGAGAACTCCTCAGGCGGGCATTAATGGGGAGGTGCAGAGCCAACATCTCCAGCCCGGGAGGAGCTGTGGGCACTGGGCATGCAGCAGGGCACGGGAATGAGTGCTGGGCCAAGGGAGAGAACTCCTCAGGCGGGCATTAATGGGGAGGTGCAGAGCCAACATCTCCCACCTCTGGCTCCCACGCTCACACTCATCCTTTCTTGGCCCCGTGCCCCTGCAGGGACGGCGCTGCTGCTCCCCACACAAGTGCCAATGTTTGCGTGGATGCCACGGCCCCTCCCTCCCACCTCTCCCTCCTCTCCGTCGTGTCTCACCGCCTCCCTCAGCCCCCTCTGCCTTAGTCAGCTCTGCCTTGTTTTGCTCCAGAAGCCTCAACGTTTTGCACTTGAATATCAGAAGTTACTCTCAGAGCTCGGCAGGCTGTTCCAGGTGTGCAGCCCTGCCAGCTATAGGTGCTTCCACATCTGTTTGCAGCAATACCTGTCCTGTTCCTAGAAATACCTGTCCTGTTCCCAGCAATTCCTGTTCTGTTCCCAGCAATTCCCGTTCCCTCCTCTCCTGCCTTTCCAGCAATAGGTGCTTCCATGTTTCCTGCCTTTCTAGCAATACCTGTTCTGTTCCCTCCTCTCCTGCCTTTCAGCAATGCGTCCTTCCACCCCTCTTGCCTTTCTAGCAATACCTGTTCTGTTTCCTGCCTTTCCAGCAATTCCTGTTCCCTCCTCTCCTGCCTTTCCAGCAACGGGTGCTTCCATAGCTCCCATTTCCAGCAATATCAGTTCTTTCTATCTCCAGCCTTTCCAGCAATTCCCATTCCCTCCTCTCCTGCCTTTCTAGCAGTTCCTGTTCTATTCCCTCATCCCCAGCCTTTCCAGCAATACCTGCTCCTTCCATCCCAGCCTTTCCAAGAATGCCTGTTCCCTCATCTCCAGCCTTTCCAGCAATTCTGCTCCCTCATCTCCTAGCCTTTCAGCAATTCCTGCTCCCTCATCTCCTGCCTTTCAGCAATGGGTGCTTCCATAGGTCCCATTGCCAAGCAATAACTGTTCTTTCCATCTCCAGCCTTTCCAGCAATTCCCGTTCCCTCCTCTCCTGCCTTTCAGCAATGAGTGCTTCCACACCTCTTGCCTTTCTAGCAATACCTGTTCTGTTCCCTCACCTCCTGTCCTTCCAGCAATTCCTGTTCTCTCATCTCCGGTGTTTCCAGCAATGGGTGCTTCCATAGCTCCCATTTCCAGCAATACCTGCTCCTTCCATCCCCAGCCTTTCCAGCAATTCCCATTCCCTCCTCCCCAGCCTTTCCAGCAATGAGTGCTTCCACACTTCCTGCCTTTCCAGCAATACCTGTTCTGTTCCCTCACCTCCAGCCAGCCTTTGCAGAATTCTTATTCTATTCCCTCATCTCCTGTTTCCATCAATACCTGTTCCCTCATCTCTTGCCTTTCTAGCAATTCCTGTTCTGTTTCCTCACCTCCTGCCTTTCCAGCAATGGGTGCTCCCATATCTGCTGCCTTTCCAGCAGTACCTGCTCCTTCCATCTCCAGCCTTTCCGGCAATTCCTGTTCCCTCCTCTCCTGCCTTTCCAGCAATGGGTGCTCCCATATCTGCTGCCTTTCTAGCAGTACCTGCTCCTTCCATCTCCAGCCTTTCCGGCAATTCCTGTTCCCTCCTCTCCTGCCTTTCCAGCAATTCCTGTTCTGTTCCCTGCCTTTCCAGCAATTCCTGTTCCCTCCTCTCCTGCCTTTCAGCAATGAGTGCTTCCACACCTCTTGCCTTTCCAGCAATTCCTGTTCTGTTCCCTGCCTTTCCAGCAATTCCTGTTCCCTCCTCTCCTGCCTTTCCAGCAATTCCCGTTCCCTCCTCTCCTGCCTTTCAGCAATGAGTGCTTCCACACCTCCTGCCTTTCCGGAGGAGGAGGAGGAGGGTGTCCACCTCTTTCCTTTCCAGCAGTGGGTGCTCCCATTTCCAAGCAATATCTGTGCTTTGCATCCCCAGCCTTTCCAGCAGTTCCTGTTCCCTCATTCCCAGCCTTTGCAGGAATATCTGCTCCCTCACCGCACCGCTGCCAGCCCCGGGGGCCGGGGTGTGCAGGCTGCTGGTGCTGGGCTGCAGAGGCGTGGGGCAGCCTTGGACGCTCCGTGTCTGTGCCCCCGTGTTTGGAAAGTGTCTTACAGGTGCTCCTGTCTCTGCTCTCTGTTTCCCCACCCCGCTGGGATGCAGATTTGGAGTTTTCCCCTCAGCACACAGATTTTGTTGTGTGCATAAAGCAGCACTGGGGTCTGTGGTGTTGGTGTCAAACCTCCCCTTCCCCGGGGAATGGGCGTGAGGACCCAGTGCTTCCCCAGAGAGGGAGGGGATGAGGGAGAGAACTGGGGAAATGTTCTCAAGTTGCCCATCTGGGATTTATCTGTGTGTTCAGTGACTGAATCTCCTATTCAGTGATTTTTCTGGGGTCCCAGGGGCAGCAGCAGCGTTCCTGCTCCTGTCCCTGAGCTCTGTCCCTCTCTGCTGAGCCCAGCACGCCCCCAGGGCTTTCTGGGCCAGCAGCAGCTTCTCCCTTTGTTTTAAACCCGGCCACAACAAGCCTGTGCTTTTGCCTTTCTGCTGGAGTTTGTTTTCCATCTCGAGCTGCTCCCCGGGGCTGCAGCAGGGTGCTGTGCTCTGCCTTTGCTGCGTTTCTGCTTCCCAACAGCTTTGGCCAATTTCCCTTCCCCTTGCCTGGTGCTCCTGGCCAGGAGGTTTATCCTCGAACTGGGATGTGGATTCTCCAGCGTGACGTGGACTCTGCCTTGTCTGGGAGGGAGCCCCGGTTTGGGGTTAAAAACCTGGAAAAGCATCCCCGGGTGGGAGCAGCGCTGGGGTTTGGAGTTGTTGGTCTCCCTGTTCTTCAGTCCGCAGGAAGTGGCTTCCGTGTGTCTCATGTTTTAAGAGTTGCGACTAATGTTTATAAAGAGCTTGTTATTTACGTTTTAAGCACTTTAAAAAAAAATAAAAGTTGTTCAAGCTGTTCCTAGACACTTCTGATTCATTGACAACAGCGTCTGTGCTGACGGCGCCTGGACACCGAGTGACATTTCTGTTTGTCTGCTGCGGGAGAGCAGGAGCAGGAGCAGGAGGAGGAGGAGGAGGAGGAGGAGGAGGGTGTCCAACTCCTCCAGCAGCTTTTCCACCTGCCCTGACAGTCCCCGAGTGCTGCAGTGGGAATGCTGCAGGAACCTCGAGTTCCTCCCCGAATCCTGCTCCTGGCCCAGGTGTGGGGCACCGGGGCTTTGGGATTTTTGGGTTTGTGCTGTGCCCTGAGCAGCCAGGGAACGAGGCTGGGGTTGGATGAGGGGTTTGGGATTTTTGGGTTTGGGATTTTTGGGGTTGTGCTGTGCCCTGAGCAGCCAGGGAACGAGGCTGGGGTTGGGGCTGGGCTGGGGGTCAGGGTGGGCATTGGGGAATTCCTTCCTGGGAAGGGCAGGGCTGGGGTCCCCATCCCTGAGGGCTTTCAGAGCCCTGGGTGGCACTTGGGGACATGGGACAGTGCTGGGGATGGCTGGACTCTGAGCTCAGAGGGATTTTCCAGCCTGAACCATTCCATGATTCCCCCTGCACAGGGAAAGGAAAGGAAAAAGGAAAGGAAAAGGGAAAAAGGAAAGAGGAGAGGAGAGGAGAGGAAAGGAAAGAGGAGAGGAGAGGAGAGGAAAGGAGAGGAGAGGAAAGAAGGAAAGGAAAGGAAAGGAAAGGAAAGGAAAGGAAAGGAAAGGAAAGGAAAGGAAAGGAAAGGAAAGGAAAGGAAAGGAAAGGAAAGGAAAGGAAAGGAAAGGAAAGGAAAGGAGGCTTCATTGGTGCTCCTGGGAGCCCTGCTGTCCCAGCCCCTCTTCCCCGTCCCTCCCACCTTTCCCCGCTCAGCCCTTTCCCTTCCCAGCTCCTCCTCCCCATGGAATCCTTTTCCCTGGGAACACGGGCTCCCTTCAGCCCCTGCAGTGACCCTGCTGCTCCCACAGAGGAGCCCCTCAGCTCTCACCCTGCTTTGTTCTCCCTGTTTGGGGGGCACCAGCACCCCCCAAAGCTGCTCCCACTCCCCTCCTGAGCTGGGCAGGGACAGGAAAGGGAACAAAAATCCCGTTTGGGGAAGAGGGCAGGGAGAGATCCCTCAGAACCCACCAGGGGCTGAAACGGGCACGAGAGTTCGAGGAAATCAGTTTAATTTATTAATTTAATTCATTGCAAATCAAACCAGAGCAGGGCAATGAGAAATAAATCAGTTTAATTTATAAATTTATTTTATTGCCAGTCCAGTCAGAGCAGGGCAATGAGAAATAAATCAATTTATTGCCAATCAAATCAGAGCGGGGCAACAAGAAACAACCCCAAATCTGAATCACTCTTCCCCCAGCCCTCCTTCCTTCCCAGGCTCAATTTCCCTCATGCTTCTCTCCCTCCTCCTTCCAGGTGGTGCAGGGGGACAGGGAATGGGGCTGTGCCCAGTCCATCACGCATTGTCACTGCTCCTTCCTCCTCCTCCTCCTCCTCCCACTCTGCCCCTGCTCCAGCGTGGGCTTCCCGTGGGGGCACAGCTCCTTCAGGGGCTCCTTGTGGGGCCAAACCTCCCTCAGGGGCATCTCATGGGGTTCAGTCTCCTTCAGGGGCCTCCCTTGGGGTCACAGCTCCAGGATCTCCTCACAGGAGCCTCCCCTGGAGCCCCCCACCCAAACCCCAATTCTGGATAAGATTACACCATGGCTGGGGGTTATGGGGGTTATTCCCAAATTCTGGATAAGCTCACACCATGGCTGGGGGTCATTCCCATTTCTGGGTGGGCTCACACCATGCCTAGGGGTCATTCCCATTTCTGGGTGGGCTCACACCATGGCTGGGGGTCATTCCCCCTCCCCAAACCCGACACTGGAGCAGAGCATGGCTCTTGGTGGGGGAAGCACCCCCTCCTCCCCAGCAGGGAAGCACAAGTTGCCAGCCAGGAGGGATCTGCTGGGGCTGCCATCAGCCAAAGCATTGATATTCTCCTGGGACTGCACCAAAAGAGTGATAGTCTTATGGCACTCCAAATGGGCTGGGATAAACAGATTCTCTCCCCTCTGCTGTTACCAAACATTCCTGAGGCAACAGCAGGCCCAGCACGGGGAGCAGGAGGGGGAAAGGGGTGCCAGGATTTGGGGGTTGGGGGTTTGGGGCTGCCTCCATCCTCACACAGAGCCTGGATGGGCTCTGGGGAGGATTTGGGGGTTTGGGGCTGCCTCCATCCTCACACAGATCCCAGGATGGGCTCTGGGGGCACGGGGAGCCCCCCTGAGCTCCTGGCGGGGCTGGGGTTGGGTTTATGGCTTGGGTTTCCTTTGGAGACAGAGCTGGGGGAGAGAGGGAGCCTGAGGGGGCAGGGGTTGGGGTCAGGGCAGGGCCCAGGTTGGGGTCAGGGCTGGGTTTGGGGTCAGGGCTGGCTTTGGGGTCAGGGCTGGGGTTGGGCCAGGGCCCAGTTTGGGGTCAGGGCTGGGGTTAGGGTCACGCTGGGTTTGGGGTGGCCCTGCAGAGCTCTGGGCACAGCTCAGAGCCCCCAGCAGCAATCCCCAAGCCCCAGGGATGGCAGGGCCAGGGTGGCAGCAGGTCCTGCTCCTCGTGCCCTGTCCCTGTCCTGTCCCCAGGCACGCTCCCTGTCCCTGGGCAGCAGCCAGGCTCTGTTGAACAACAGCTCCGAGGAGCAGCAGACACAAATGACAAAATGCCCTTCCCTGCCCTCTCCTGCTCCACTTTCACCCCTCAGAGCCCCTTTGCTCCCCTCTGCCCCCGGAGCTGCAGGTCTGGGGTCAGTGCTGAGCGAGCCCAAAGCCAGACACGGCTTCTGCAGGAGGGAAGGAGAGAGGGAAGCAGGAACCCACGGGCTCTGCAGCCACGAGGCACAGAGCAGAACTCCCACAGCAAAACGGGGCACTCATGCTTTCCGGGTGGCAAAAATACGGTTTTGGGTTTATTTTCTTTTATTTTGTGGGGTTTCTTTCTTTTTTTTTTTTTTTTTGTTTTGTTTTGTTTTTGGTCTCTTTTTTTTTGTTGTTTTTTTTTGTTTTTGGGGTGTTTTTTTGTTTGTTTGTTTTTCTTTTGGGGGGGGGTTTGGTTTTGTTTTTGGTCTCTTTTTTTTTTGGTTGGTTTTTTTGTTTTGGGTTTTTTTTTTTGTTTGTTTGGTTTTTTTTTTGGGGGGGGTGCGTTCACGCTTTCCCTGGGTAGTAAAAATGGGAATATTTTTTTTGTTTCAGGGCACTCACGTTTTTCCTGGGTGCTAAAACACCGGGTTTTTTTTGTTTTTGTTTTTTTTTTTTTTTTTTTTAGGGCACTGACGCTTTCCCTGGGTGGTAAAACCACGGGATTTTCACGTTTCAGGTGCATTTTCAATTCCCTCTGGGCTGGGAATCCCGCTCCCGGCTCCCCAGCGCTGCCTCCCCCCGCCCCAGCCGCTCCCGTGTCTGCTGTCCCCGAGCCCCGCTGGGATCGATCCTGATCCTAATCCCGACCCCGATCCCGACCCCGACCCCGACCCCGAACAGGTCCGGGCGCTTCTGACCCCGCTGATCCGCGAGAGACAATTCCGGTGCCTGACCCCCTTTCCATGAGGAATTCCTCCCAGTGCCCACCCTGAGGCTCCCCTGGGGCCGTTCCCTCTGCTCCTGTCCCTGTTCCCTGGAGCACAGCCCGACCCCCCCGGCTGTCCCCTCCTGGCAGGAGCTGTGCAGAGCCACAAGGGCCCCTGAGCCTCCTCTGCTCCAGGCTGAGCCCCTTCCCAGCTCCCTCAGGGATTCTGCAGCCCCTTCCCAGCTCCCTCAGGGATTCTGCAGCCCCTTCCCAGCTCCCTCGGGGTTTCTCAGCCCCTTCCCAGCTCCCTCAGGGATTCTGCAGCCCCTTCCCAGCTCCCTCAGGGATTCTGCAGCCCCTTCCCAGCTCCCTCAGGGATTCTGCAGCCCCTTCCCGGCTCCCTCAGGGATTCTGCAGCCCCATTCCCAGCTCCCTCAGGAGTTCTCAGCCCCATTCCCAGCTCCGTTCCTGGCCTGGCCGCGCTCCCGCCCCTCGGTGCCCTTTTTCCCATAGACGCCATTCAATAAATAACACTTGGGGTGGTTTTTCGGGAGTTTTCGGGCCCTCACGTCTCTGTGTTTCGGCATTAGCTCAGTCTGTCACACATTTAAGGTCAAACTCTTCTCTCCCGTCCCGCTCACCGCCCCCCCTTCCCCGGATCCCCCTTTTCTCGCGGGACTACATTTCCCATGGTGCCCCGCGGCCAGCGCGCTCCCCATTGGCTGGCGGAGCGGGCGCGGCCCCGCCCCCGGCGGTGGCCGGCGGACTGCATGTCCCGGCGTGCCCCGCGGCAGCTGCGGTTGGCCGCAGCCAATGAGCGCGGGGCCGGCCGGGGGGCGGGGCCCGGCGGCGGGGGAGGCTGTTTAAAGTGGCGCTTGCGGGATGGCGGAGCCGGCGGACTATCCCCCGTTCCAGCTGGGGAAGCCGCGCTTCGAGCAGGTACTGCCGGCGGCGGGAGACGGCGGGGGGGCCCCGGGAGCGGCGGCGGGAGCGGCCCCCGCCCCGCGCGCGGCATC